ATGCAATTTCAGCTGACCTCAGCCCGAGCTCAAGCTTCATGGACTACGAGAATGTGATGATAGCAACCCTGCTTACGCTGCTCTGTGGTGCATTGGCTGTTTGCTTCTACTTGCGCTTTGCACTGGGAGTTGCGAGAGGCGAGACCTTCGCCAAAGGCATGGACCAAAAGTTACATGAAGTTTTGGACATACTTGAGTCTAAAATGGGTTGGGGAATATATGAAGGAAAAGCTGAAACCCTGCAAGAGAAACGTCGCCGTTACCTGAATAGTGAGATGTGTGAAGTTTCAGACGACGAGTATTGGCGCCACATGCGCTATATGGACCACCATGGACTGATGAGCACGACGAAGCAGAAGAAGGATCCGAGTCTTCTCTGACTGCTGACCCTGAGGTATCTACCTCACATCTGTCGCCTGAGCTTAGGCAATCAATGCTGGAGACCAACGCTGTGCTTCGATCCCGAGTGGAACGCTTGGAAGCTGACTGGGAACGTGCACAGTGGCACAACGACGCTCTAGCGATGGCACAGATCGAAGGTCAAATCAGAGAAGCCCATGGAATGATGTACACCGACGTAGATGAGACTTGAAAGGAGTCTTGAAGGATGTACAGATTTTTTTTTACATGCAACGATGAAACAAGAATCTACTGCCCTTTGCCGTGAAGGCTTTGATGACAGCCTTGGTAGATTTTTTTTAACAAAGGTTTCAGCTGCTGACTTAAAAGAAGTCGCATCTGAGGCGGGGTGAATGGAATTTCACTCCAGGACATATCCATTTGTTTGCAGTACATGTGCAGTTCAATTTGGATTTTGTGCAGACATGTCGAACCTTACATGTCAGTTTAGCTACAGTTGCATGTGCAATACATGGATGTCACCGTAGGCGTTTTTGTGCGAGGATCAAAAGGGCGCTATCAATCATTTGTCGATGCCCGGGTTGAAACATTCAACTTCGCAGACCTTGCCCCGACTGTGCAATCAAGAAGAGACCGTGACAAAAAGAGTGCAACGGATTTCACCGTGATCATTTGTTTTTCGATGATTCAGCATTTGCAGACGGTGTTTTGCGAGTTGTTTGTCGTTTGGCGTATCGGCGATATAGTGCGAGGGTTGCTTTTATATGGGTATATAGGTTTACTTATATGTTTACATATATGGTCATATTCATGTTATATGTGATTTCTATTCTACGGTGATTTCAGTTTGAAATCGTTCGGATGAACGTTGATGGGTTTGCGGTTTGTCTAGTATAGACAAATCTTCCGTAGCTCGTTGTTGATCCTTTCCCACCGTCTTGTGGTTTGTTAGTGAAAGTAAGCAGCTGAACCTGAACCCGAAGTCCAGATCGAGTTCCAACACTGAAGAAGGTGCAGCTATTCTACTTGCAGCTCAACCTGTTCCTGGAAATGGAGTTCATGGAGAAGAACAGATAATGATGCATGGATTGATGAGCTTGGTGAAACACCGTCAGTGACATACAGACGGTATGTCCAAAGTGGTCACGAAGAAGTTTCAGACCCAGACGAGTGGGCTGACATCCATTATGCTGCAAATTCCTCAAGAGCAAGATCCCGTTCCAGAAGCAATGAGGAGATGGCAACACCTTTTTTCCCAAAGAATGCCCTCTGTCCTTTCTGCTCAGCGCGATCGTCGACTTGCAGAAGAGCGTGCAGAGGCAATAGTTGCTCATGCAGAAAGATCGAGAATGCCGTGGTGTTCGACAAGTGATTCGTGCATCAGGCTCACGACCTTCCAGAGCAGTTCCATCAGGCGATAGTGTGAACTACTACCAGGACTCAGTTGGTGTGGCTTCATTTTTCCACATTGGATTGGTTCCTCGTGAGCTATCTGCATTTGAAGACTACAGGAGGGACCTCATTGGACAAGGACAAGGACCAGAAACAATCGTGGTTCACAATTCAAGAGGCCTTTCAAACTTTGTGGCGAGTTGCATGGACCCAATAGAACGATTTCGAGCTCAACGACTTCTACGACGTTTGCATGGATTGTTGGTGATATTTCAAACTCGTGAGCCAGAGCAATGGATTTCTGCAGCGGAGTCAATCATGGAGTGGCTGAATACAAATCGCGATTGGAGTTTTTTCGACATTGGTGAGAGAGAACAAGGATCAGTTCGTGATGAAGGAGAAGAAGAAGATCGCCGAAGCGATGAGTCGGTTGATCCGCAAGACCGATATGACTATGAATGAATGTAACCCAATGAGGTGACGACACCAATAGAAACTATAGGAAGGACTATGAAGAGTCCTGCGGTGTCATATAGATGCAAGATGGTGAAACACCTTTAAAACAAGGAGTTTCAAGGCGGGGCGTGAAGCTTTAGCTGATCCCGCAAACCATGTGTAGTATCTGTTCGTATCAGTGTGCCAACAACTGTTTGCCACCAACTACAGAAAAGATAGCACGCTGCTTCAGACTATCATAAAAGTTGATCATAAATCACATTTTTTGGGTATGTTATGATGTGTTTTGTTGATGGTGTTTGATATGCGTTTTGTCCTGACGATGATTCGCGAAACTTGACATTTCTTATGTACTTGGTCGTCACTTAGTCAATTAATAGTTATCTCATGTTATCTCCTTTTGTATGTCAATTAGAACCGTAAACAAGTAATTTTTCAACTTCAGTTTTGACTATGAACTTGTTTGATCTCGATTCAAATCAAAATATAGTCACAGCTTCCTAGTGTAAGTCCATAATCATAGTCTAGTCATGATTTAATGATTCCAATGATCTCAAGGCCAGTCACAATTTTTCAGCACAGTATGTATGTGGTGTTCTTTGAAGGTTTACTTGAACGAATTTTAGTTTGTCGTATAGGTACGTTGCTAAGTTCCCGTGCGTGTATTTTGAAGACATACCTGCGTGCGTTTGTAATGGATTTTTTTTTCTATGCAACTGTAATGCAATACCAGATTGTTTGCACCATATGCATGGCTGCATGATTTGATACTCTATGTCTCTATGTTCTCATTTTTGTGACCGAGTTCATGAATTGACACATACTTTATGTTTACATTGGTAGTGTTTGTGTATGGCTAGGTATTCGTGGTCAACCTTGTGGTTTATTCAGGCCATGATACAATTTGACCATTCTTGGGAATATGTTTTCCAGTTCAACAATATTTTTAGGAACAACTCTACAGATTGGGCCATGGTTTTGGGAATAACTCTACATATTTGGCCATAGTTTTAGGAATAGCTCTGCAGATTTGGCCATAATTTTGGGAATAGTTCCACACAATTTATGCATAGTTTTAGTAATTGCTCTGGGGATTTGACTGTCCTATGATGAATAACTCTAGAGGTCTTTATGGATAGCTCTACAGCCTCACAGACAAAGAGGCCAAACCACGTCCTAATTCCTTATCCTCACACACGCACACTGTTGGGAGTCTCTTGCCGGTGTAATTTTAAAATGTCGCCAAGACACACATGCAAGCAAACACACCGTTATATGCGTCTACATGGGCACAACGTTTGGGGCAGGAAGTAAATTTGCAACAAATTGTGTTGCATATTCTAGCTGCTGCAAATAAAAAACAACTTGACAACATGAATCACGACGGTGTGTTGATGTTTAAAATCGTTAGTGGCGATGATCACATGCTCCAATTATTTTGCACGGGCTGAGTCGAACAACCAACCGTTTTGCAGTTGCGGTTTCTTTGTTTAAAAACAACCGCAACCCGCCCGAGAACCTGTTGCTAGGGAATAAAGACTGCCATGTTTGTTTTGTATATGAACGCATCACCTGCAACAGGTCTGTGCGTATTTGCGCACACTTGTTCAGAACCACAAACATAGTGCAACGCCTGGACATTTGTAGCCAATTCTCCCATTTTTTTTCAACACCATTGGACATATGGAGGAAAAATCACATGATTTGTTTGTTTATATCAAGTGGGTGAAAAAACGTATGAATTCAATGCATGGGCCGGGGCCTTGCTGACATGTGACCTCAATGTCGGAGTCCATTCGTGACTTAAACACCATGGTCGACCATCAAGGGAACAACCTCTGTGTAATGCAAATTTCTACTTGTTCGATTTTGATTTAGTCACAACCTGATTTAAACAATTCCCGTGGGTTTCCCAAATCTGAACGCGTAAAAATCACCCAACATTGCATAAAATCATAAAATTTGATGCATGTCTTTACACGCACGTTTCCGAAAACGATGCATGTAATTATACTACTGGCAACTCAGACACGCAAAAAAAAAATGTGGGCAGACCGGGGTGACAAAAAATTATTTCCCGAGTGGAATCAGTTCGTAGATGCAATTTTTTTTTGAGAAGCAACGAATTTTTGATTGCGCATTTGGATTATTTGCATGTGTTTCAGTCCATTCAAATGACCTGCAGCCTTTGCTGTTCCAGTGTGCAAGTCACAGGTGTGCAACGCCAGTTGTGAACGGTTCATGGCTGATCCTCGATGGGATCACGGCGGTGCTGATGGGATTGCTGCGTGGCCTGGTGGAAAATTTGTTCAAAGGGTTTTGGGAATCCAAGTACGACGCATGGATGTAGTGGATTTTTGGATTCATGCATAAATTCGCAAGAGGATGCTACTTGTTGAACATTTTGTGTTTTTGCATACAAGAAAAACATAAAAAACCATCATTGTTGGTTGTATTTGGTTCCCTATTTTTTCTGAACTCTGGGTAATAAGGTCTCGGTAATATAGTCTTCCGGCATGTAGATGGAGTGAAACATAATTCCCAGTCCTTATTCAATAAAGATCATGACAAATTTCCATTCAGGGTTGGGTCACACGATATTTGGAGCGACCAACAACATTCTGTCCACAATTTAGGGTTCATTAGAAGATATCAGCTGGAGGTCATACATATGCCACCACGACAAGGGTGCCACAAGGCATGTCATTTTCCATTGGTATCTCTTTTGTGTTAATGGCCCATCGTTTCTCCTTGCTGTGCAGTAGTTCCCCATTATTCGTAGCAGATATAATTCACACAATCAGCGACGGAACTTCCTCATCACGGTGGTTGTATCCAACGGCATTCACCCGGTGAGCACCCGTGGTGCTGTGGACGCCTTAGGTCATGCGAGACGGGAAACGTGGAGAGTTTGTATCTTGTCATGTGAAGGGTTCAGAAACATCACATTTTTTTGGGCCTGAACGAGTCCGTTTTTCAGTCCCATTTTATTATTTTAATTGCAGGTTTTGAGAGGAGGTTCAAACCACTAAAAACCTGCATGGAACATCCAGTTTTCAGATTCTGCAATGAATCTATTTGGATGCAGAAAACAGAACAGAAAACAATGCCTTAGAGAATGCCAACATAGTGTGATGTTGGTTGAATTCGCAAGTTCGTCCAGATGGATCTGGGACACAGATTTCCTTCAGTATCCACTGCAGAGTTCAAGAGATAAAAAGTCACGAAGATGTATATGCCACCCAGCATTGCTCATTTGCTGCCAAATTCCTTGTGTACCCTCTGGTTATTTAACACTGTGGAATCTGGCCCATTTGTAGACTATTCTTATGTATATATATATATAAAGTTGCCCTGTGCATGTGACATGCACTCAAAACTGAACACTTTCCGAACACTTTCCATGGCCATGGATATTCACAAAAGAAAGCGGTGGCAATTGCTTCTGATTAAAGTTTGCACTGGCCACCCTTTGGGAGGCGGGATAGGGCCAAAATTCTTGACCACATAGCTCAAACTGACTGATCGTGATAGGGAGGACATCACGGCACAGCTGATTTTCTCGCTACCTCCAAGTTGCCCTGTGCATGTGACATGCACTCAAAACTGAACACTTTCCATGGCCATGGATATTCACAAAAGAAAGCGGTGGCAATTGCATCTGATTAAAGTTTGCACTGGCCACCCTTTCCATCCTTTACTTCCTGCAAAGCAAAAAAATTCGAAAAAAGTCTGGAAAATGAAACTGCAGCACGGTCCAGACATGCTGCTCCAGCAAAATGATCCGATGTTTTGCAGCTGGCGGCAGTTGATGTAAGAACAACTGCGCAGCCACTTCTTGCACATAGTGTTCCACAGTGCGCATACGCGCCCACCTGCCCCTCCAAGCAACTTTGGGAAGGTCTTCTGAATCCAAATACATTTGGGTCGCTCCAGAACCTCGAAGCACGCCAGGAGTCGCCCCTCGGACGCTCTGACGCCGAGGGATCTCAAGGTGATCCAGCAAGGCGTTCCATTGGCGCCTGAAAACTGCAATCGAGGCATTGAAGAGGCGAGCTCCCAAAGGTAAATGCTCAAAGAACAGCTGGGCCATCAGGATGACTGAAGTGTCATCAATGCGCACATGTTGACGACGTGCGAACCGAGCAGTTTTGGGGTTCTTGATGTGTATGTATAAAACACTACGGTTTTCCAGGGAATCCGAAGGAAAAATTAAATCTCCCCTCTCAAGATGAAGGAACTCGTTTGGGTGAAGCATGCCTGAGCACCCTAAAGCAACCATGGCACCAAAACGATACCATTTCCATAAAAAGGCCAGGGCGCAAATGCTGCGAACAACTGGTGCAGACAACACTGCTCTGCACTGTCCAGGTTCTTTCAGCTGCCACTGTTTGTCTACCTGCCAGGCTCCTGCAAGGAAAGGCCGAAACTCAGGCCTCAAATGCTGCACACCGGTGATAGCATAGACCAGTTGGTACCTTGGTTTCCCAGCAGAAAAGGTGGCGCGCCCATACGCCCTCAAAGAAAGGTTTGCGTTCTCCGCACTGCTCAAGGCCATGTTCAGATCCCATTTCAGCTCCTTCTGAAGCCACTCTTCAAAAAAGGTCAAACAAGCATCCATCCGCGCGACGGTCGTCCGCGAGAGCCCGACAACCATACTGAGCTGCCCGCGGGGCTTGTAGGCTTTGTTCTCAGAGGGGCCCGGATTCCTTTCCACAACAGTAAACGCACCCACCGCCCTAACGGACGGCTCCACTTTGCACTTTCCAGCATGATTTCAAACAAACTGTCGTCGCCCTGCTCCAGACATGCAAGCCAGGTGGGTCGTTCACAGGTGGGAGGAGCAACTTTGCCATCTCGCGAAGGCCCATCCGCACGGTTCCATGCTGACCGCACATGCAGCCCACCTGGATATAATCCGCACCCCAGCACATAGCCCAGAGACGTCTTCAAAATATGACTCAAAGCTTTTGAACTGCTGCGACCTTTGGCTGCCGCTCCAAGAGTCACACGGCTATCTAAAAGTCCCAGAACTCTGCAGCCCGGCCACCGCTTGGCGCAATGCTTCAGCCAGCTTTTGTAAACTCGGCATTCCAGACAGTTGATATGCCCACCTTTTTTGAAACGATAGCGAAACAGTTCCCTGTATCGCAACCCCTCACACAAATCATGCACCCAATCAGGGTCCTCATGCCATGGTCGCAAGTTGCCATTCTCTTCTAAGGGCCCTGCTTTGCGACCCAACTCCAGGAAAAAATCTGCAGAACCCCGTGCCATGGCTCGGCAGAGCTCACGGGGATAGGAAGCCGAGAAAGCGCTCACCGCCTCTCCAGGAACCGGCAACCGACCATAGACCTCAGTGCAATTGGGGCGGCATCGTTTGTCAAACTCACGTATGTTTTTTCGAGTGAAAGTGCCCTGTACCACAAAATGTCTGTTTTTGTATGAGCAGCTGCAAACACCTGCCAGTCTCAACAGCCACGGCTTATTATGAAGCCACTTCGAAGGTTTGTTGAAAGCACTGCCAAAACTGCAGAAACAAAATTTTGTAAGCCAGCACCCCCTCGCAAGTAGTCGCTTGAAAATATCCAAATCAAACATGACTGAACTGCCCGGCTGTTCACACGAAATAAAACACCCATGCACCAAAGCTACCAAAAGAAGGAAGGCTGTCCGCACCGCCAAACGCGTCTGTTCAGCGGTCAGAGGGTCAGCAGGGTCAAAACCGAAGGGCTGAGCTTTTGACCTCAAACGAGGTCTCCTGAGGGTTCCAAAAGACCAGCAAGGGGGAGCTGCATGCCACTCCTCGACAGTGCCGCTGTCGGCTAGTCGCAAAAGCCCTAGGAAAGTGCTGTCATCACTCAGGTCGCCAAAGCGGACACCCCGCTCATTTCTTTCGACTCCAGGATGGACCCTAAGGCCCACCTCTTCATGAGCAACGCTCCAGTTTCCCTGGCCTCTAAACAACTCAAGGCAGTGGAACGTTTCCCGCTCCTCAGAGGTCATTGGCAAACAGGGCATCGGTCCTTCAGGTAAACTCAAGGGACCAGCTTCCGAACCAAACAGCTCAGCATGATCTAAACCTTTTTCACGCAGCACTACTCCAGGCCCTTGCTCCAGACGGGTATAATACCCTCGCTGCTCAGACAAAAGCCACAGCCGGTCGACGGCATCTTCAGCCACTGAGGAGGAACAAACTGCTCCAGCATATGGACTTGCGTCCATCATGAACACCTCCGGGCATATAGCTGCCCGCATGTCGCATTGTGCCAGGACACCCAGAAGCATCAGCATGGTCAGCTCACTCAGGCTTTTGGGAGAAAGGGGAAAAACTGTATCAGGAGGTTGATGGTTTCCTTCATTGTAAATTGCATCCAACACTGAAAAAATACATCTGCGAAATAACAATGCATGAACCCATGACCCAATCAAACTCTGCAGAATCTTCTTGGTGCATGACTTCTTTTGAGCCACAACCGCAGTGCAAAACATGAGGACTGCAAGACGAGAACGCGGTGCAGACACCCTACCAACAACTCCATCAACTTCGGCCCCCAAAACGGTGGCCGCTGAAACTTGCCTTTGTCTTTTTCCTGGGTGAGGGGTAAGTCCCACTGCTGCATACGCTCGTTCAGACTGCTTGAAAACTGCTTTGTCCCGGGTTGGCTGTTGACCCAAAGGAAAACCCTTTTTTACCCGTTGCAACCCAATATGATCATCAATGGTCAAAAGTTCATAGAAAGGCCCTTTGGGGATTGCGCGACGATAGGCTAAAACTTCTTTGGGGTCCATGCATCCACCCAACTGTCGAAGTAAGTTGTAATGACTTTGTTGTGCAATTTCAACTGCCAACCCGTCGCCCATTGCCAATGTAGCCAAACAGATATAAACTGACTCCTGATGTAACTGTGGGTTGTAACACTGAAGGTGGGAGAGCTCACTGCCAACAAATGAAACCCCAATTGCATTCCTTGCAGCCCTACTACGAGACACCTTGAAGGTGTAGTAAAACTCGCAAAGGTCATCCGAACTAATACGAAGATCTTCATCAGGTCTCAGCCGTATCATACCAACCAAATGACCAGGCGCAATTGTTTTGGTGAAGGTGTTTGCATTATACATCCGTGAGTTGATAACTGTGGGATTGATAATAAGTCGATCGTGATCTTGATCTTTAGGAACAGCAAACAGACCAACGGCTTCGTCAGCTCTGATCTCATTCGTGGGGATCAGCATGCAAGCGCCGAGCTTGTCCCACTTTTCCGCCAGACGCAAAACCTCTTCGCGAGAGCAGTGAACACGAGCCCGCGGCCGCTGAGGCCAGTCGCCAACAGGTTTACGAAGGACTTCAGGATCTTGGAAAGCAGCATGAACAATAGGATCGCTCAAGTAAGGTTTGGGGTCAAAAGACGGACCTAACTTCCACTTAATCCTGTCTGAAAAAACCTGTTTGGCAGGTGATGTAGCCAACTTCACCTTATATGCTGTAGCCGGCTCGGCTCCACTGCAAACATTAGATGCATGCTGGGCAGAAGCTGCTGCATTGTTTGTTGGCTCTTTGCTGTAAGGGTCAAGATCTTTTTGGATCACATCTAAAAAACTTACCACATCGTTGAAACTCAGTGAATTAAAATCATGCAAAGAAAAAGATGCTTTCAATAAATTCTCCAGCTTTTCTCCAGCCCGGCCTAGGTCAGTGGGAGATGCAACGGGGGCTCTCAAAAAATAGTCCACCATCTCCTCCAACCTCTCCAAAGCGGCATGCTGCGCCGCAGAGATTGGTGCTCCCAAACGGCAGTGCTCTGGAGGAGACTGAGCATGTCCCAAGGTCAGCCAGTTGAGCGCGATTACAATCCTTTGCAAAAGCTTTGCCCGAACCATGAGAAACTTTCGACGATGACGTCGTCGAGGAGAAAGGTGCTGGCTGGCCGTCCAACGCCACCGGGGTGGGGGACATGGCCACACATCGGATCTTGGAGCAGTTCCGACAGCAGCGCGAGATTCACAGAGGCTCTTTCTCAGGAAACCTCCAAAACAACTTGCAGGATTGCTAGCCACCTGCAAAACAGCTAGCATGATCTCATTGCATCTAATTGCAGAAGGCAGAGCTTGGCCAGGCTGACCAAAAACTAGGCCTCCAGGAACTTTGGCCTCTTCTGCACCACCGTTCTCACACGCATCCAACTCAAGGGCTGAGCGCAGGTCCCGTTCCGCCCCCCCGACCAAAAGTCGCAGTAGAGGCAGGGCCTCCCCGCGCTGACATAGAAGAGCCTGGCAAAGGTTTGGAACGGTCCCTGAATGGAAGCTCAGCGTGGTTGGTGCGATCTAAGCATTTGGTGATGTCTTTTCGGCACCTTGTTTCGGGCCGCTTCCCTCTGTTTCCGGTTTCTGCTTTTTGCCCTTGTACTTGGGTCTTGGGTTGTGCTCGGGCGCCGGCTTGTCGGCGTTGGCCTTGTCGCTTTTGTCGTTGTTTCGGATCTTGGATTCCAGAAAGTCCAGATCGCGAAGATAGGAGACATTTGCCGCGACCCAGCTTGCAGACGCCAGCCGAGTGAACGGTTTCAGCCCGCTCTTCTGAGTGTTTTGCTGCGTCAGGGTAAAGTTGGGATCTGCTAGTCCCGTCATCAGCCAACTCAGATTTGTGCGGCCTGAGTCCAGTGCAGTCTGTTCCACAAACATCAGCAGCTTGGCGCAAAACCCCTGGAGCTCTTTGTTGTTGGTTCGAGCACCAATCTCCCATCCGGAAGCGGCCAGATACCCGAACTGGGTCAACTGCCGAAAGTTGCCCAGAGGCACCCTCCGCTCCAAGTAGTCTCGCATGATGCCCGGAGTCACCTGGTAAGCGCTCAACCCGAGCTCGGCGGTGGCGTTGCTTTCGGCCACCGAAGCCAGCTTGTGAAGGTCCTCCGTGATCTTCACGTAAGCTTCCCTGGCCAGGCAACCCTTGATGCCGCTGGTGCTGCCCCCTTGATTGTCGCCCCCGCCTGACCCGAGCAAGGCCTGGATGGGATCTGAGGGCTGCCGGTGGTTGAAACTCTTGTTCATCAGAGCCATCTGCTTCATCTGGAGTAGCATCAGCTTTTGCATCGGGTCCGATGCGTCGGCCAGGGTTGCCTCCAGAGCCTGATCTAGCTCCTCCGCCTCCACTGCTTCGGCTGCATGTTCTGCCAAAGCTTGAGACTCGGGACCAGCTGCCTGAGACTGCCGTTCGTGAGCGCCAAGACGGGTGGGGCCCACCCCTGCCAGCATCTTCAACCGCTCCATCGCCGCATCTGCCGCGGCCGCATTGCCGAAGCCCCCCAGCAGACCGCCGGGACCAGCTAGCTGTCCCCTTGAAGCATTCACTGTGGGAGGCGGCGGAGGTGCTTGCCCTAAACGGATACCCTCAACTACTTAAGGTCTAGAAGGCCCCCCCGTGGAGGGGCTAGGGTCTAGAGGTCTAGACTGATAATTAGAGCATTGTAGACCCTTCCCAGTGGTACCACTCTAGACCCTTGGAATTTGGAGGTTTTGAAGCTAGCAAAAAATGAAATATAAAATCATAGCATTCTGGGGCCCTACTGTCAGGAAGCCATATTTTTTTGGTTCACCCCAAATCCCTAGCAACACAGATTGGAAGCAAAAATAAAGGGATTCTGAAAGAGAGTTTCTGGATGGTTCTGGAATATGATACGAAATATGTTTAGTTTTCGAACAGGTCTTTTCAAAACTATCATCATCCATGGCATCCATGGCATCCATGGCATCCTTTAGTTTTCAAAATCGTTTGGTCCCGCGCTTCTCCTCCTTCGGGGGCATCTCTTTCTTCAACCACACCATGGCACGTTGTGACTCCTGCCAAATTCAAGGAAATCAGGGCCAACAAGAATTAGATCGACTGCTTGAGGGGTCTGGACTTGAATCATACCAGGGGCACAGCTTTATCACATAAAAGAGCGCCACGGCAAAGCATTCAAGACCCCACAGGTTGGTAAATACATCTGGACATTACCTCACCACACACATGGCTGCGCACACCAAACTGATAGTCAACAACATATTCTGTGTGTATCCAAGGTCTAACTTCAAATCCAATCAGGGCCCCACAGGCATCTGAACACCACATCCCAAAGTAAACCAAAGGAGACCCCGGTTTCAAAAAAATCGACTTCAAAAAAAACACTAATTTAGGTGAACACCGTCAACAAATGTGAACAACATGGAATGTCTCATGTTGATACTTTTAAGATCTTTTAAGCATCACCTTGAGTAACCAATGCTTTCTGCAAATGATTTCACAACCTTCAACCACATAAAGCCAAGCAGACAACGAAGCATAGGGTCTAAAATGTTTTTCACCCAGCCTATCTTGACCTCTGTGTCCTTGTAAAAACACACAAACCTTTTCAGACCCTTTACAGCACCTAACTCCTTAACAGGAACTATGGAAATAGTATAAATCGAAGGGTCTGGACTTGAATCATACCAGGGGCACAGCTTTATCACATAAAAGAGCGCCAAGGCAAAGCATTCAAGACCCCACAGGTTGGTAAATACATCTGGACATTACCTCACCACACACATGGCTGGGCACACCAAACTGATAGTCAACAACATATTCTGTGTGCATCCAAGGTCTAACTTCAAATCCAATCAGGGCCCCACAGGCATCTGAACACCACATCCCAAAGTAAACCAAAGGAGACCCCGGTTAGCAAAATGACTTTAAAAAAAATCGACTTCAAAAAGAACACACTAATTTAGGTGAACACCGTCAACAAATGTGAACAGCATGGAATGCCTCATGTTGATACTTTTAAGATCTTTTAAGCATCACCTTGAGTAACCAATGCTTTCTGCAAATGAATTCACAACCTTCAACCACATCAAAGCCAAGCAGACAACGAAGCATAGGGTCTAAAATGTTTTTCACCCAGCGTATCTTGACCTCTGTGTCCTTGTAAAAACACACAAACCTTTTCAAACCCTTTACAGCACCTAACTCCTTAACAGGAACTATGGAAAAAATAAATCGAAGGGTCTGGACTTGAATCATACCAGGGGCACAGCTTTATCACATAAAAGAGCGCCAAGGCAAAGCATTCAAGACCCCACAGGTTGGTAAATACATCTGGACATTACCTCACCACACACATGGCTGGGCCACCAAAATGATAGTCAACAACATATTCTGTGTGTATCCAAGGTCTAACTTCAAATCCAATCAGGGCCCCACAGGCATCTGAACACCACATCCCAAAGTAAACCAAAGGAGACCCCGGTTAGCAAAATGACTTCAAAAAAATCGACTTCAAAAAAAAACACTAATTTAGGTGAACACTGTCAACAAATGTGAACCACATGGAATGTCTCATGTTGATACTTTTGAGATCTTTTAAGCATCACCTTGAGTAACCAATGCTTTCTGCAAATGATTTCACAACCTTCAACCACATCAAAGCCTAGCAAACAACGAAGCATAGGGTCTAAAATGTTTTTCACCCAGCGTATCTTGACCTCTGTGTCCTTGAAAAAACACACAAACCTTTTCAGACCCTTGACAACACCTAACTCCTTAACAGGAACTATGGAAATAATATAAATTGAAGGGCCTGGACTTGAATCATACCAGGGACTGTCAGGAAGATGATCAGGCTGAGGAGTCTGATAATTCAGGGTCGGACTGATCTACTTGAAAGCCATTTTTTTGAAAACCATTTGGAACAGTTTTGAGCTACCTCCATTTTTTGAAAGCAATTTGGAACAGTTTTGAGCCACCTGTTTTTTGTTGTGTCCCTGACCCGGTAGGATGACATAGAATGGGGATCAGACTGCGGTGTCTTTTCACTTGGGATTGCAAAATGCTCACCAGCGGCGCATGCAAAAATATGCAGACATGTCATGCATTTGGCGCAGATGAAAAGCTGGACTTTTTGGAGCATATGTAGAGGCAGTGGGAAAACCATAGTAGACCTTAAATACTGGACCAGCCCAAAGGTCTAGATGAACGAAATTATTTTTACATTCCCCCTGGTCAAACAACCCTTTAGACCCCACATTTAGGGTCTACACAGAAGTAACCCACCCCCCCCCAAGTAGCTGAGAGTATCTAAACGGCGTTCCAGCTGCTCCAAACGCTGCAGCAATTGCGACGCCACTCCGGAGTCCAAAGGCTCCCCATCTAAATCTGGCACGCCTTCTTCCCCGCCAATGCCGGTCATGTATTCGGCGGCAGTGTCCTCGTCCATTGCTTCTGTGACCCACTGGTCGGTGCTGGCTTCGAGGGCGGTCTTGATAGGTCTGCCCACTGTGTCGCCAACCTTGAAGCGGATCAGGGCACCGGTACTGCTTCGACCAGGGCGTCTGAAGAAACCTAGGCCTCCCCATCCGCAATCCACAAGCAAAATTGCAGCCTCCCCAAGAGAGCGACCCCGAGGAGTTTCGAGCTGGCACTCGCACTGGTAGGTCACAAACATCTCCTCTGGTGCGCCTCCACCAGCCTCGAAAAACAGCACCACTTCCTCTTCTGCAGGCAGACAAAACATCAACCCTCCAGCACGTATACGTGCCACGTAGGTGGCAGCCTGCCATAGCTGAGTGCCGTCAGGAGTAGTTGCAGCAAAGTAAAAGAACGTGCCCACAGGTCCGGCTGCACGGAACTGGGCCTCGATCTCCTCTTGCTCTACAGCTCGAGCTGCGGCCCGGGAGGCCATCTAACTCCAGCTCCAATGCAGTAGGCCTCAGCTTCCACTTCTGATGGAAAGGCGTGGGACACGCTGCTGATGTCAAAGGGTACACCAGGCCCACCAACGGCCCGGAAATAGATCTCAGGACTTTTGGTCCACCCAGCACGTCCTTGAGGTCCACCACGAAGCACCACGAAAACCAGATTTTTAAATTCCAGACTCGGAGAGCGCACCACTGCAGTAGGGTGTGGATTCCGCAGGCAATCTCTAGCAGAAAGACCAGCTCGCAGGGCCCGGCCCAACCTCCGCAATGGAGTCCACCCAGAGCGCGCCTGACTTCGCAGGCGACAGGCTAAGTGACTCATGGGAGCTAGGTTGATCCCCTCGTAATCCTCAGGCCCCTTGGCACCAAGCACTGCTCGAACCCACTCGGCCGACCACACAGCAGGAACCGCACCAAGGAGGAGGCCGAAGAAGGAGAAGCTTCCTGGGCCCGAGGGCCAGCAAGGGATACAGGTACCTCAGTTGAAACTGGCTGCTGACTCAAACTGCGGCGGTCAGGTGAGCTGATAGTAATCCTCAGTTCCCCGATCTGCAAAGTCAGGTCAGTCACAGGGTCAGTTCCAACCATAAATCACTGCCGGTAACCCGCCAGTCGAGATCGCACAGCTAGAGCTCGATCCTGAACCAAACCACCTGGAGAGAGTAATGAAATCAGGGTCTGCAGAGCAACCACCAGCAGCTTGCGGCACCCAGGGCTAAAGATCACAGCACTGAGAAAAAAACCGCAGATGATTCCCAACCAAAAGGCAAAGCAAAGTAGTAGGAGAACTGTGGCCCAACTGAAACCAGTGCAATCAGCAGCGCTCCACCACAAGCGGCCCTCGCGAAGCAGCTCCAGGAAACTCATGCAAGGTGTTTGGGCCAAAATTCTTGACCACATAGCTCAAACTGACTGATCGTGATAGGGAGGTAGCGAGAAAATCAGCTGTGCCGTGATATATATATATATATATCAAAAATGGTGGTTTTCCGGGCTACGTTAAACAACCAGAGGGTATTTCGCCAAAAAGAACCTCAGGCTTGCCTTGGCAAACACCACAGTCCTGCGATGCGTACGGATCCCTGGTTGTGACCATGTTCATTGTTGGGTCTCCAGTCAGGGACCTGAAAGCATCTAAGGAACTGTTAAGGGTGTTAAGGTATACTCAGAACCCATGCGTAAGGTATACCGGTCAAAATCGAGCATAGTAACTCGCAAAACGATCGAGACAGTAACATCCTACTTACAGCAATAGTAACTTCAGCCATTTTGATCTTTTTTCGGGCAGTCAACTGTGAGACATTTTGACTCAACGGATCAAGGTGTTTCTTTGATGGGAAACTCCTCAGAATGGGTGTTCGTTTCGGGTGTCAAGAGATCATGCCATCTGCAGCCCACCTGGAACGCTCAGACCATGCCCTCCGTGGGAAGCCAAGTGGACAGACGTTGGAAGGGGCAGCACATCTCAAGGCGTCAGAAAAGGGAACTGTGTTTGTTTGCTGCTGTTTGGAAAGGTTAAACATCAGAAGACCAACAACAACAATGGCCTTTTGAAACCCACGCATCATGGTGTCCAACCCCCTGTTTTTTGATGTGGTTGCAGAAGAATATATTTCCTTGCAAAAGGATGCCGAAGGGCCAGTTGATCGGTCTCCAAACTCGAGAGCAAAAAAAATCGGGGATTCCCAGGTCATTTTCTACTTGGGAATGTCGAAAAGATTGGTGGTGCCACAATGTTTGGTCCGCAAACATTGTTGTGTGGGGTACCTTAAGCACATCAAAATGTCGAAACCAAAGAGAAATCCATTTTGCTCAGGTTGGTTCAAATTTTCTTCAAAATTCATATCATATCTTACTCCAGGATGCTTGTACCAGCGTTTTTTTTTGACCCGCTGCCCAGCCAGGATGCGCTCGGGCCGTTGGAGAACTGCAGCCAAATGCCATGGAGTCTCTGCAGACATTCAGGTTGTGAGCATGGATATTTCAAAAACATTGGAGAATTCAAACAGCAAATCTGGAGCAAGTCTGTGTCTCTGAACTGGTACTCCATTTGGTGGAGAACATAATTTTTCATCAAAGATTCTTAACATTCGCATGAAAGTTGGGGGGTTGAACAAAACCTTTTAGTTGCTCATGTGCGAAATCACTCCGCTTGACACCCTGGAAATGTGATCTTTGACAACTTGGACGGGACGTTTGCACTGGTCTCTTTGTTCCGGCTAGTAGAATGGGGTCAGGAAAACATGTTGAAGTCAGGCCTAGTCTTGCATGAACCATTCTTAGGCGATGTTCAGCCTTGTTTCACCCATTCTGGGCTCGTTGTGCCAACGTTCCACAGGGACACCTCTGCGCTATTTGTCCTGGTTGCCACTCCAAGTTTGAGACACCTTAAACTGTATGGCTCATGCGTGGCCGTGCCAGGAGAAAGCCGAAGAACGTGTGCCAGAACGACATTCGTTGCGTGAGGCGGAATTCGCTGGCATTTTGCCAGGGGTGCCTCATTGAGCTGCGAAGGTTAAAGGAATTGTTTCACTGTTTCATCTTCGAATGAACTCAACACTCCGGCGGTAGACTTTCTTTTATTTCTACCAAAGCACTTGTTTTACATGCATTGCACGTTTGGTCCAGAACGACCTTAATTAATTTTGTCAGGGAGAAACAATCCCAGCCCCCGAAACTTGGGATCCAACACTCGATGTAAAGGGTTGCAGTGAGGGTGTTGGGAAACACAACATGTGTTGATGCCAGCAAAAACAGTGATAAACAGTGATATAAAGTAGTCACAAGCTTCCTTTTAAGCCATGCAGTCATGCAGTCTAATAGATGAAGAATTTCGGACTGGCTGAATGACAATCCCAGAGGCTTCAGCCACAGGGTTGGTGCCGTCCAAAGTTGGCTCACAGATTTTGCCAGCTCGCCTAGCTCGATCAAATGTGGCCGGTGATGTCTGAGACAAACTTGGCCAGAATTCTCCAGCCTGAAAGCCCGGCCTCAGGATCTGATGATCTCGGCCAGAATTCCTTGGGATAAACTGATTCTGTGGGTTGGGAGGTGCAAAGCCCTCGAGGGAACGTGGTCATGGTTCCTTGGTTGCCGCCAATTTGGATTTGGTGATAGGTAGTCCAGGCCTTAGAAAGTGACTCGAAGATGTCGCATCTCAGGCTTTCCAATTCTACTTGCCACCCAAGATGCATTTTGACTTTGAGTTCGCTCTAGGCACGCAAAAAAAGTGTGGCCTTCAGGGCCTCAACTCCTCAACCCAGCAAGGAACCATGCCACGACTGCAACATGTTTGCTTCCGCTGCGAGGCCACAGGGATGGCCACATGACGTTGACTGGGCCAGATATTTTGCGGATCATTTTAGGCGTTTCAGTCAGAGGCAAATCGAGACTGGACCATGAAAACGGATGTGTTAAGAGGATCAATTTGATCAATGTTTTAAGACATTTCTAAGACATTTCGACTAGTCAACTTCTCACCGAACCATGGACGAGAATGCGAATCGACGTGCAGCTGAGCTTTTTGCAGAGCCGTGGTCAAGCCTCGGAGCCGCGCGAAGGGCGGGCCCGTTTTTCCATGGCGCAAGCAATGCCGGTTCAGCAGGATGTTTAGGACTTCTCTGAACCAAAGCCGCCATCAACGCAAAACTTCATGGTCAGCATTGAGAATCATTGCACTCAAGATCCAGTAAGACTTTATAAAGCTGAGTTTGTTTTTCCCTCTGAGAATACCACTTGTTGATCAAGGCTGTAAGACCTGTAAGACTGCTAGTGACCCGCTTCACCACAGCATTTCAGGCCATAGCAAGCCGTTGGGGCCATGTGCCCTGCGTCATTTTTCATTGGCCAATGCCTCGGATAGGGTGTGAGTGGAACAAGTGCAGGGTATGGTATCACGATGTGGGCATCGACAAGGAGAACACCCTGCATCCCTATGAACTAGAGATGTCCTAAAGACAATCTAAAGACCTTGGTATTTTGCGGACTATGTAGCAGCATGGATTGTGTAGCAGCAGTATATTCGGGCAAGAGATTTTGAGGATGTATTTAGAATGATAATAAATGATGCACCTGTGTGCTTGTGACCCTGCTGCTCACCTTTCATTGAGTACACTAAGATTAGGAGGAGATGACGCGAGAAGCCCGCATTCATAGTGACCCAACATGAGTATGGCTAAAAACGATTGAAGCTTGTATAAAAGGAGCAAGGGACCACATTCTGAGCCTGTTTGGAAATATGGTGAGGGCTGGTCGAGTTGGTCAATAATGCCATCCTTTCTTGGTGTTGTTCCCAATGCGCAGCAAAGGAATCCTGCTACACCGTAGGGATGTTGCACTTGGAAGGGTTTGCCCATGAAATTTGCCACAAGCGTGCAAGAGCCATGCCTATGGGCTGTCCAAAGCATCTAATTAGCCGTCAGCTGCGTTTGTCGTGATGGTTCTATCAGCTGCACCACCCACACCCTGAGCTTTGTTGCACACAGCATTGCTACATCCGTTGGCCACGGCAGCACTCCGTGGGCACAACCTGCATGGGTCATAATGAGTCAGGCCTTGTCAAGCCATTAGTAAATAGACGATGCTGCGTTTGCTCCATGTTTGCACGTTGAACAAATTGACCGAGCCACAAACACATCTCCAGTCTATCATACAGGCGGGAAATTGGTGGATGATTTTTGGAGTTCATTGAGCCCCCAAAGGTCAATGCCAAAAATACTTTGGAAGCCAGGACATGATGGAGATGAACACATCGTCGAACTAGCATCCTCAAAAGACTTTTTCCATCTTGGGGCTTACTACAATGAAATTGATTCTTGAATTTGACGTCACATGGAAGCCGCCGCCGCAGTGCTCCACGAAAGTCCAAGCAGATTTGCAGATTGCCTTCAGTTTGCCAAGACCTTTCCCAAGAAAACTCCATCAACCAGATGTCCTCAGATGTCCTCAGATGTCCTCAGATGTCCTTAGTGCAGATGCGTTTTTCTGCCATGGCTTTCGCGGCGTTGTTTCTCGCAGCCTTCGCAGCCTCATGCTGCGCTGCTGCAGCTGCTGAGCAGGCACTCCACCAATGGACTGTCCTCCGTGGTGGGTCAAGCGGTGACGCAGCTTACAGCCTTGAGGCCGGGAGGGCGAGCACAGAGGTCTTACGGCAGATGTGTGCTAATGACATTACAATGATATGTGATGATGTGTGTATTTTTGTTATGTTTTTTTCCATATTGATATACTTTGCTGATTGGATCCGCAAAGTGTTTTTTCCCGAGAGCGTCTGAGCGAAGGGTTCTTCTAATAGTGGGGGTCTGTCAAACATTTTCACATCTTCACATCTTCTCATCTTCACATCTTCTCATCTTCACATCTTCTCATCTTCACATCTTCACATCTTCTCATCTTCACATCTTCACATCTTCTCATCTTCACATCTTCACATCTTCTCATCTTCATCTTCTCATCTTCACATCTTCTCATCTTCACATCTTCTCATCTTCACATCTTCTCATCTTCACATCTTCTCATCTTCACATCTTCTCATCTTCACATCTTCTCATCGTCACATCTTCACATCCTCACATCTTCACATCCTCACATTTTCACATCTTCACATCTTCACATTCTCTCTTGCCCTCTTGCTCTCTTGCCCTCTTACTCTCTTGCCCTCTTGCCCTCTCCTTCTTTTCTATTTCTCTCTTAAGGCGCGGGGCAGTGCCAACGAGACGGCACGAAACGCAACCCTTTCGCACGAAACGAGGTTCGATCGCCAAAAGCTGCGGTAAAATTGCGATTTTGAATCGTCCGGCGCAACCCTTTCGCACGAAATGAGGTTCGATCGCCAAAAACTGCGGTAAAATTGCGATTTTGAAATGTCCGCGACAAACCTTTCGCACGAAATGAGGTTCGATCGCCAAAAACTGCGGTAAAATTGCGATTTTCACGCGTCCAGCGCAACTCTTTCGCACGAAATGGGGTTCGATCGCCAAAAGCTGAGGTAACATTGCGATTTTCACGTGTCCGGCGCAACCCTTTCGCACGAAATGAGGTTCGATCGCCAAAAACCGCGGTAAAATTAGGATTTTGAAGCGTCCGGCGCAACCCTTTCGCACGAAATGAGACTTCTGTGTGTAAAAAGTTTCTGTGTGTAAAAGCATCTGTGTGTAAAAACTTCTGTGTGTAAAAGCGTCTGTGTGTAAAAGCTCCTGTGTGTAAAAGCTTCTGTGGGTAAAAGCTCTGTGTGTAAAAGCTCCTGTGTGTAAAAGCTTCTGTGTGTAAAAGCTAGGCCTCTGTGTGTAAAAAGCTTCTGTGTGTAAAAGCTTCTGTGTGAAAAAGCTTCTGTGCGTAAAAGCTTCTGTGTGTAAAAGCTTCTGTGTGTAGAATCTTCTGTAGGTAAAAGTGTCTGTGTGTAAAGGTCTGTGTGTAAAATCTTCTTTGTGTAAAAAGCTTCTGTGAAAAAAAAGGTTCTGTGTGTACAAGCTTCTGTGTGTAAAAGCTTCTGTGTGTGGGGAGGCTCTGTGTGTGGAAGTGTCTGTGTGTGAAAGCTTCTGTGTGTAAAAGCTTCTGTGTGTAAAAGTGTCTGTGTGTAGAATCTTCTGTGGGTAAAAGTGTCTGCGTGTAAAAGTGCCTGTGTGTAAAAAGCTTCTGTGTGTAAAAGCTTCTGTGTGTAAAAAGGTTCTGTGTGTAAAAGCTTCCGTGTGTAAAAACTTCTGTGTGTAAAAGCTTCTGTGTGTAAAAGCTAGGTCTCTGTGTGTAAAAGCTTCTGTGTGTAAAAGCTAGGCCTCTGTGTGTAAAAGTTTATCTGTGTGAAAAAGCATCTGTGTGTAAAAGCTTCTGTGTGTAAAAGCGTCTGTGTGTAAAGCGTCTGTATGTAAATGCTTCTGTGTGTAAAAGCTTCTGTGTGTAATAGCTTCTGTGTAAAAGCTTCTGTGTGTAAAAGCTTCTGTGTGTAAAAGCTAGGCCTCTGTGTGTAAAAAGCTTCTGTGTGTAAAAGCGTGCTGTGTGTCAACTTCCTGTGCGTAAAAGTTTTTGTGTGTAAAAGCTTCTATATGTAAAAGCTTCTGTGTGTAAAAACTTCTGCGTGTAAAAACCTTCTGTGTGTACAAGCGTGCTGTGTGTCAAATTTATGTGTGTAAAAGCTTCTGCGTGTAAAAGCGTCTGTGTGTAAAAGCTTCTGTGTGTAAAAGCTTCTGCTGTGTGTAAAAAGCTTCTGTGTGTAAAAGCTTCTTTGTGTAGAATCTTATGTAGGTAAAAATGTCTGTGTGTAAAAGTGTCTGTGTGTAAAAAGCTTCTGTGTGTAAAAGCTTCTTTGTGTAAAAAGCTTCTGTGTGTAAAAGCGTGCTGTGTGTCAAATTTCTGTGCGTAAAAGTTTTTCTGTGTCAAAGCGTCTGTGTAAAAGCAACTGTGTGTAAAAGCTTCTGTGTGTAAAAGTGTCTGTGTGTAAAAGCGTCTGTGTGCAAAAGGGTCCGTGTGTAAAAGCGTCTGTGTGTAAAAATCTTCTGTGTGTAAAAGCTTCT